CCCCGAAGAGCAGCAAAGGCCCTGAGGGTATTTAAATCGTAAAGTCGAACTATTGGGTGGCTGCTGCCGACATAAAGGAATTCTCCACAAGGGTGTGGGGCCGTGACAGTTATGGGGTAAACATCTCGCAGAGTTGCTGCAGCACAATGCGCAGCAACAAGCTGCTGCTGCTGCTGCTGCTGCTGCTGCTGCTGCTGCTGCTGCGGGAACTCCCGCAGCAACTATATGCTGCGGAGAACATGGTGCAGACACCACTTTGCGACTCCGCAGCTGCGCGATTAATGTCTCTTACAGGCTAGGGTTTAGGGTTTAGGGTTTAGGGTTTAGGGTTTGTGGAGTGAGGGTTTGCATGCATGGTCCTGGGGGACTCTTTTGGGGCAAACGGCAGCCTCAGCTGGAAGTTGTGAAAAAGCCATTTGTGCAAAAATAAATAAAAAGAAATAAATTAAAATGAATTAAAATAAAGTGAATCAAAACAAATTAAAATAAATTGAATTAAAATATATCGAAATGAATTGAAATAAATTTAAAAGAATTAAATGAAATAAAATGAATTATAAATCAATTGAAAAAGAAGAAGCAAACAGATCCACTTTGCTTCTGTCCCTCTGCTGTGCAGATGCGTTTAAACCAAATACAACTTAAGCAGCGACTTCAAACGCTGCAGCAGCAGCAGCAGCAGCAGCTGCTGCTGCTGCTGCTGCAGCTGCTGCTGCTGCTGCTGCTGCTGCAGCTGCTGCTGCTGCTCACCTATAGGCCCCCCCAAGGGTTTGTTTTTGGTGGAGCTGATGTCGAAGAGCTTCACTGTGCCGTCGAAGCTGCCGCTGAAGCAAATGCGGCTGCAGCAGCACTCAAGAAACCCCACAAACCCTAAACCCTAAACCCTAAACCCTAAACCCTAAACCCTAAACCCCCAAACCTAAACCCTCCGCCCCAAGCGCCTAAAGGTCCCCACACTTGCACCGCGGAATCCTTGACACGGGAAACGGAAGCAGCGCAAAAACCCAGGGTTCACAGCCAAGGCTTAGGGTTTAGGGTTTAGGGTTTAGGGTTTAGGGTTTGCGGCCCCACCTATCGGGGCTAATGGCCACGGAGCTGACGGGGCCCTCGTGGGTGTGCAGCAGCCTGGAGGGGCCCTCGGGGGCCCCCGGGGCCCCGGGGGCCCCCGGGGGCCCCAGGGGCCCCGGGGGCCCCTCAAGGGGGCCCCTGTTGTTTTCAATTTGCTTCAGAAGAAGAAGTCTTACGGAGCCATCGAGGGCCCCTGCTGCTGCTACGCTCATGTCGCTGCTGCACGCCGTGCTTAGACACGCCTGCGCATACAAACCCTAAACCCTAAACCCTAAACTCTAAACCCTAAACCCTAAACCCTAGGTCTCCCGTCCCGAGCCAAGGCCCTGCTTTCCCAGGAAATAACAGTCCACACACGTGGCGCCAGAGACCCCCCTGCTGCTGCTGCTGCTGCTGTGGGCTGCCGCTGCTGCTGCTGCTGCTGCTGCTGCTGCTGAGTCAGTTTAAATGATATTGAAAGCAGCAAACAACTTCTTACATTTTCAATGTTGACAGAACAGACCACAGTGGCGGAGATAAGCGCCTCAGAGCCCAGCGGGTCCAAAGAAGGGCCCAGGGGGCCCCCCAAGGGGCCCCCCTGGGGGCCCCCCGGGGGGCCCCCCGGGGGGCCGCCCTGGGGGCCCCCACTGCCCTCAGGACTTGGGTAAGGGTTGAAGACAAACTGCTGCTCTGCTTCTGTTATTGGGGGCACTGCGCGAGTCCGCAGGGGCTGCCACGTGCGCTGCTGCCGCTGCTGCTGCTGCTGCTGCTGCTGCTGCTGAGGCGGCTGCTCCGTAGGGGCGCCTTCTTGCGTTGCTGCTGCTGCTGCTGTGTCGGCTGCTATGTCTCCCTCTGTGCTTGCTGCTCCTTCTGTTGCTGCAGTTGCTGCTGCTGCTGCTGCTCTCTCTGCTGCGTGGGAAGCCCCTTCGGCGGGCGCTGCAGGGGCCTCCTTGGCAGGCGCTTTGCCCAGCAGCAGCTGCTGCGCCGTTGCTGCTGCTGCTGCTGCTGCTGCTTCTTGCGAAGGCTGGAATGCTGCTGCTCTGAAGACTGAAAACAGCAAATCTGGAGGCAGCAAAGGATTCGCCCGGAGATGCATCGCGTCGCAGAGCGCGACAGCCACTTCGTTAAGCCTGAGAGCCACAGCCCACGCACTGCAGAAAAAGGCTGCACACTGCAGCAGCAGCAGCAGCAGCAGCAGCAGCAGCGATGGGTGCAATAGCGGCTGCAGAGGCAGCCACATACAAGATAAGGCTGCTGCTGATGAGCAGCTAGTTGCTATTGGCGCTGCTGCTCAAGACTGGATGCTGTCACGCCACCTAGGAACAGCAGCAGCAGGATAGGCACTACCAGCAGCAGCAGCAGCAGCAGCAGCAACGCAAGTGCCACCGACAATAGCACAGACAGAAACAGTTAAAAGGCCACACCCCACAGGAGTAGTAGCCTTGACGGCAGCAGCAGCAATGGTAGCTGCTGCTGCTGCTGCTGCAGCAAGACCTGGCTGGGCTGCTTACTCGTCATCTAGCAGCTGCTTCGCCACTGCTTCGTAGAAGAAGATCTTCAGAGGGTGTAGAGACACCGCAGAAGCTGCTGCCTGCTGCCCATTTGTCTCTGCTGCTGCTGCTGCTGCTGCTGCTTCTCCAGCTTCAAAGTGGCGCTCGGCTGCCCCCGAAAAGGCGAAATCTGAAACTTTTGGTCCGTTGAGCGCCGCAGCAGCAGCAGCTCCGGATTCCTCTTTCATGCTGATCTCCATTTTGCACAAAAGAAATCAAGTTTATATTAAATGCCTTTAAAAGGAAAGTTGTGCAGCGGGAGTGGGCGGGACGAAGCCCAGGAAGAAGATCCGAGCGAAGGCGAGCCACGAGCGTTTCTGCTTCTGCTGCTGCAGCTGCAGCTCCTGCTGCAGTTGCTGCTGTCAACGTTGCATAGTTCAAATATATATAGTTATTTTGACCGAAAGGCGGAGAGAATGAAAGAAAAGAGTCGAGAAAGGCTCGAGACTGAGACCCGCGGGCGGATCTGCCACATCCGTCGGCGCTGCGGTGCTGTTCAGATTTTCTGAACTCCCCGATTTCTCATTTTAAAATGGAAATTTAAATTCAAAATGCAAAAGTTAAACACAAAATGTGGATATTTCAAATGTGCACAAACGGGGCTGGAGCAACAGAGCCCCGAAAAGCCCCAAAAGAAGAAAAAAAGAAATGACCGACAGAAGTGGTCGAAGACTGTTGCGCGTGAGCTGAGGTGTACGTACACCTCAGTTTTGCGCGCTCAAGAATTTTTCTGATGCCAAATTTCCGGAAGTACGAATTAAAGGAGGGATTAAAAGGTATTTAAACTCAATTTCGAAGTTTCTTTTCTTGTTTGCGGTGTGGGGAGAGCTTTAGAGACGAAAATTCTCTTTTCTTTTCTCGTTTTTTCTTTGCACCAGTGAGCCTTGAGATCTGCCCCGCTTCCGCAGCAGCAGACTTGCAATTACTTCTCGATTACTTCTGCACCAAAGAAGCAACAGAAAGAAAGTCCAAATCAAAATAAAGAAAGATTATTCAAGAGAAAGCTAAGCTCCTTTTTTGTTCTTGCTGCTGAAGCTGCAGCAGCAAAGCAATCTACTTGCATCAAGCCGAGCTCCTAGCAGCCGAAAGTTTGGCTGAGCGAAGCATTAGAAATGTGAATTTTAGTTTAGAAATTAATTAAACTCCATCTTTTTAACTTTGAATGAATTAAATTTCTTTTTCCTTATTTCAAACTTCCTCATCTCTGCCCCCCTCTGCGGATTCTGCACAGAGCCAGCAGCGCTATAAGAGCCCCCCAGACATTTAATTCTTTTTAATTATTTTGCATGCGTTTATGTTACTTTTTAAATGGTAATTATGCAAATTTATTGAAAGACAATAATGCCAATTTATTAAACAAATGCAGATCTGCATTCGTAGGAGCCATGGAACTCAGCCTTTATACTGCGGTGCAGCGCAGCAGCAGCAGCAGCAGCAGCGAAAACAGCAGCAGCAGGAGCGAAAGCAGCAGCAGTTGCAGCGAAGACAGCAGCAGCAGCAGCCAAAATAGCAGCAGTAGCAACGAAAACAGCAGCAGTGGCAGCGGCAGCAGCGAAAACAGCAGCATCAAAAGTAGCAGCAGGAGCAGGAGCAAAAGCAGCAAAAACAGCAGCATCAGAAGTAGCAGCAGCAGGAGCAGCAAGAACAGCAGCAGTAGCAGCAGAAGCAGCGAAAACAGCACCATCAGAAGTAGCAGCAGCAGCGGCAGCGAAAACAGCAGCAGCCGAAGCAGCAGCGGCAGCAACAGCAGCGAATGCAACAGGAGCAGAAGCAGCAGCAGCGAAAACAGCAGCAGCAGCAGCAACTGCAGCACAGCCTCTTGGGAGCGTTTGCAAGGCGTGGGGTGTACGTACACCGCAAGAGTTCCCGTGATAAAGAATTAAAAGGCTTTTTCTTCAGCAGCGAATTTGAAGCTGCTGCTGAAAGAATTAAAAGATAAATTTGAAGTCAAAACTTCTAAAACTGAATTGCTGCTGCTGCTGTCTTGCTGCAAACGGATTTTGAACAGATGAAAATTAATATAATTTATGTGCAATTCAAAAGTGCTGCTGCTGCTGCTGCAGCAAGTGCATGCAAATGCTAAAGCACGAGCCCATACCTATATATTTTTAAAGGAGAACATATATATAATGCATTTATGAGTATGTATACTTATATATGTGCTGCTGCTGCAGCTGTTACAAAGCCGTGCTGCAGCAGCTCAGCTGCAGCAAAACGCAGCAGACAGCAGCAAAAATTTTATTTAATTTAATTTAAAATGAGAGGAAGCAGCAGCAAATGCAATTAGAAGTTACTTGGAGCTTTGAAGATCTGCCGCAGAGCCGAAGACCGCTGCCGTGCAAAGCTGAAAATGCCTGTTCTGCTGCTGTTGCTGCTGCTGCGAGCAGGAGCTGCAAAGGCGAGGAATTTGTGAATTTTTAGAGTAAAAGAATGTTTTTTATTGATTAAAAAGTAAATGTGAGCCATTAAAGAGAAAAGGAAGAAAAGGAATGCGAAATTTGGGAAGTTTCAACAGGTGTTCAGAATAGACTGGTGTGGTGTCGGCTCCGGAGCGGAAGTGAGTGGAACTGGTATCTGTTTTGCCGCTGCTTTCGTCGAATCGAAGCTTGGAGTGAAACCGTGAATTAAATAAGACGGAAATGCAAATATTTCGCGCAAAAGTGGAGCAGTTTGTCTTCCGGAAGGCAGGATCGTTCGGTGGCCATTGCCGGTGCAGTGTCTGTACACGGCGGCCGCTGCAGCGGCGCTCGCGCAGCAGGCAGCAGGTTCACTTTTGCGGGTTTGGGGAGCAAAAGGCGGCTCAAAAGAATCGTTAAATGTAAAATAAAAGAAGTTTCGGACATTTAAAGAGGGAAAGCCGCGCTGGAGCGCCACCATGCGCGGCCCGAGCGTCCGCTGGCCACCGCCGAAGCACTTGTGCATTTTTCGAGCTTTCTGCTGCAGCAAAACCCCAAAATGGTGGAAAGCCGCAACCCCGTAGACGAAAAGTGGTTTCCGCGGGCAATTCTGCCCCAAGGCGAGCCCAAGCTGCGGGTCTTTTGCTTCCCCGGCGCCGGTGAGCCGCTCCTCAACAACACGACCAATTCCCAACTCCCAAGCTCCCATAGCTGCTGCTGCTGCTGCAGCAGCAGCGTGCCGCCGCCGCCGCCGCTGCCGCAGCTGCCGCTGCTGCTGCTGCTGCTGCTGCTGCTGCAGGCATGGAGGCCTCGATATGGACGGGGCGGGGCACCAGCCTGTCCCGGATGCCGAACCCGCTGTGCGACTTTGCGCAGAAAGAAGGAGTGGCTTTCCTGGCCCTCCAAATGCCCTTCCGCGGCCTCCGCCGCAGAGAGGCCCACCCCCGCACGCTCCGCGCCGCTGCGGCGCAGGCCCTCGACGCCATGCGGCCCCTGGTCCCGCGCTGCTGCTGCTGCTGCTGCTGCTGCTGCTGCTGCTGCTGCTGCTGCTGCTGCGGCTGCTGCTGCTGCGGCTGCTGCGGCTGCTGCTGCTGCTGCTGCGGCTGCGGCTGCTGCTGGCTCTGAGGTGGTGCTCCTGCTGCTGCCGCTGCTGCTGCCGCTGCTGCTACTGCTGCTGCTGCTGCTGCTGCTGCTGCTGCTGATGCTGCTGCTGCAGCAAGCGGAAGCAGCAGTGGGTGGTTGGTGCGGTGTGCAGATCTCGAAGGGCTGCTGCCCGTACGTGCTGGTGGGCTACTCGATGGGCTGCTGGCTGGCCTTCGAAGTGCTGCAGCAGGCGAAGCTGGAAGCACTTTTGCTGCCGCTGCACTTCGTTGCTGCTGCGATGGTCAGCCCCGACCTGCCGCCCCACAGGCGCCCCTGGACCGCCACTGCTGCCCTCGACACTGCCGCCTTCCAGGTGCGCTCCGCTGTACGTACGAACCGCTGCTGCTGCTGCTGCTGCTGCTGCTGCGCTGTATGCGCAAGTGCTGCTGCTGCGGTGGACGGACACCAAGTGCTGCTGCTGCCGTGTATGTACACCAAGTGCTGCTGCTGCGGTGTACGGACAGCTCGCGGCGCTGCTGGGGTGTATGGACACCTGGCGGAGCGGAGGTGTACGCACACCTGGCCTCCTCCACGTATACCTGCTGCTGCTGCTGGGGTGTACGTACACCTCGCGCTGCTGGTGGGGTGTACGTACACCTGGAGAGGCGGGGTGGAAAATGCATT